GTACAGGCCTGACGCTGGAAGCTGGCGGAAATTTTAAAATGGCGTGGATGCGCGGTGGCAAAAGTAGGCAGTTTTAGGTATAACGATTGCAGCCCTCATTCTTCAGTATTCCTATCAGGGGCGTAGATTAAATATTTAAAACTAGGGATCATTGAGCAAGTAATAGACATACAAACAGAAAAACTAATTGTTGATGTTGGTGACAGTGATAGAGATTCCCATGATGATAGTGAATGTGAAAACTAACTATAAAACAAAAGCAATAAGTTTATTTTTCTGCATTATTTCGTAGTACACTACTGTCCTATCAGTAGTAATACTATAATTTATGCCAACTGAAAGCTTATTTGTGTATCGATACTAAGTGACTTATCCAAATAGGTCATAAATGGGCAAGTACTTGCGCGACCGCTCGCCAGCTTCCTTCGTCAGACCTGTACCTAGCAACCCTAATTACGACTATGAAATTAGAATCGACGTTTCGCTATTAGTTCTGAGAGAACCTACCCTGAAGAAGGCTCATAACTGACAGCGAAACGTCGGTTATGGTTTCATAGTCGTAGTAAACAAATTATTCATTAATATTGGTTGGATTTTTATCTCTTAATGAACAACAATATCTACATATACATATACAAATACAATGAATTGAATCGAAATAACTATTCTTATGGTATTACTTGTATATTTAACTTTAAAAGTTTTTCTAACGGTTAATCCCCAGTTATATATTAATTATTATNTTATTGGGATTAAAGGAATCGATTAATTGACAAATACTCATTTAATCCAAATTATCGAATCACTATAGATATATATTCGTATTTTTATTCTTTTTTTAGATGAAGCACATAACAACTCAAGAATAAATAGGTGTTAAAGGAAATAATAGTTATTGTTATCTACTAGTGTTATTAATATTCGTCGCGATTAATACCTAGATTGTTTAATTAACCGGTGGTTTGATTGATCGATTATTTGTCTAATCGATTACCTAATCGATGATTTTTAAAAATTGAAAATAATCGATTACTTAATAACCTTACCTAAATCTTATTAGGCAATGTTTTTAACAATTATTTTTTTAGTGTTTATAGTATAAAGCAAATATAAATGTTTATTTCACATTAGTTTTATTTAAATTATATCATTATTCTAGACAACTGGATTACAATTTGATCTATAAAAAAAGTTATCTTTTATCTTTGATTTTAATAGGGATAATACTCGATTGCATGTAACAGATAAATTTATTTACAAAACAGTAAATGCAAAGCTCCTTGCGAATGATTATTATAATATAATCATTGGATAGATAAAATTAAATTTATTTGTATTGTAGTTCCTTCGACTTAAATTATTTATTAGACACATATAAGCAATATATTATCTTATTATCTCATTTTTTTAATTGTATCTTAGGCGATGGATCTGCAGAAGATGCAAATGCCTTCGTTAACCAGAAAGTTACCATTGAATTCAAACAGGATGGTAACAAATATTCATACATTTCTACCACAGACAGAGGTTCCAGGACTGTTACCTTCGAACCTGGCAAGGAATTCACTGAAGAACTTCTAGGAAAAGTTCAACTTAAGGTATTTACATTTTGCAACACACTCAGGCGCCGTCCAAGTCATTGTGGGGAGTGGGATGGGGGGGACGTCATAAAACTGTCTTAGATCCTTGCGATTACAGCCTCCCCTTCGTGGTTATTTTGTATGACGACTTTAAAAGGTGTGAGCTGAACCAGTATGTTCTTTCTATGAGAAGGGGGGTGGGGTTATAAGTCCCCTGCTCTCGCCTGGACGGCCCCTGAACACAAATTTATAAAATTTGGATAGAATAAACGCCATTGCTATTTTTGATTCTAATTTTAGAGTGTGGCAAGCGTGGCTGGTAACAAAGTTACCATTAAGTCTAAAATTCCCAACGGGGCTGAAATTACTCGCGTCTATAATATCAACCCTGATAGTGTGATAGTGGTAAGTAGAAAAAATATAACATATTTTTTAAACGAAAATAAGTAATCTTAGATAATGTAACTGCATTTACTTAAATTGCAGGCGAATTTAAGTAAATTAGTAATAGATAACCCAACCTACCCTAAATTTAAAGGTCCTTAACCCCACTAAAACCTCTCCAGTAATTCCTTGAACTTTAACCTTACATAAATTACTGTAAAATGCTGACAGCAATTGTTAACGAAATATTACTTTGTTTTTTGCCTTTTATAACAATAACAATAACAAATTATATTTATGTTATGATCATGTCTTTTTTTAGGAATTGTCCGGGGGTAACGTTAAAGCCAAACGTACTTATAAGAGAGTCTAAAGGCTGAATTCATCCAGCATTTTGGAAATACAATTTATTATTTAGTTTAGATCTTGTTTTGGACTTATTGAATTTGTTTAATAAAAAATGTAATTGTACCCATTAAATTACTAAAATACAATAATTTGCTTTATTACCATATCTTCCATTTTACTTGTATCACTAGAAGAATATGTACAATAATTAATTTATTTATTGCATTAGTGACTGTTCCAGTCTTGATATTGGTTCTGGTCTTGTTTATTCGATCTTGGTCTTAATTTTGCTGATGTAGTCTCGATCTTGATTTTGGTCTTGCTGATATGGTCTCCGTCTTGGTCTTGGTGTTGCGTGTTAGATAATTTAATCTGATACTTACATTTTTGTTATAAAGACAGTCTTGGTCTTGCGAAAATAGAAGACCAAGACTGCAAATTCAATTTTGCTCATCAGATTTTCCTTTAGTGTCGCTCTGGACACCATAAAAAATGCCGCCTCATTACCCATATTCTACAGCTATAGTTCACTTACTTTCTCTAGCGATGTGCCCCTTCCAGTGTCTTGTATCCGCGCTAGCAAAATCGTAGGTAGGGAGAAAAAAGCTCATTATAATCTCGACTCTTGTTCATTAAACATACTTTTTCATACAGTACCTGCCAAAAGTTTTGTTTAATCATGAATGGTAGTGCGAGTCGAAAACAAGCGTTAAAGCCTTTAATATGTCTTCATATATAAATAAACATCTCGTTGATATTTTCAAGAGTAATTGGTACCAATAACAGCACATTTGAACAATGCAATTTTAGTGGATAAAATGGTCAATTTTTTCGTGCAGTACTGTACGGATTATACGCTTCTCACCGGTTAAGAGTTTGGCCGAGAGTTGTCTCCTTCCTTTTCTGGCCTAGTGCTGTTCTTTTCTACTTAGCGCCGGTCAAACCTAAGGTCACATCGCTACAGAAACTAAACGAAGTATAATTAAGAATACTTTTTAACTTTCCCTATAAAAACCACAAATTTTTCAAAATTAGGAAGTTATTGATTTCAGGTTGATTTTCGAAAATTGAATATTCATCAGATCTCAACCTTTTAAGATCACAAGAAGCTAAAACTCAAAAAAATACGTCGAATGCTGTAAGTCTCACAAAAATTAGTTGATCCGTTCCAGAATATTATTATTGACGAAAAGTTTCGAAAAAAGTTTTTTTTCATTTTATTGATGTAAAACCAATATTAATCTCATTACATTAC